GAGGCGGGCCCCCGGCGGCAGATGGCCGCGGCCTGCGGGACGGCGCATCCCGTCCCCTGCCCCGCGCCCGCCGGGCCCTGGGCGGCGGCTGCGCCTGTGTCTTTACCTGCTCTTGGCGGCTGGGGCCCCGACGCTAAACGTTTGGCCTTGCGGGTTTTTAGGTGGCTGGACGTTTGGCAGTTTTGTGTGGGACTTCCGACCGAGCCTCTTAGGACAATATTTAGCCTTTTTTTTGTTTTGTTTTTTTGTTTTAGTGAAACTGCTGTGCGAAACGATAATTTGTGACTAATGAACCAATCTGTCTATTTATCACCAGTAAAACTGTTTCAACTTAAAGGCTCTGAAGCAGCCTGGCACCAAATGCCGCGCTTTAAAACACGGTTCACGTGGCTTAAAAGAGAGCTGTGCTTGTGATGGAAAACGAGTTTGTGTTTTCTGATTAATAAAGAGCTGCATCATACTTCTTGTTTGTTTTGATTCTAGAGCATGTTGCATTTAAAAATGGCTGCATCACTTTTTCTTTGTTTTCAGCCCCTAAAACGCTGCACTTAAGAGTAACTAAATATAGTCAGAACGAGATGGGAAGAGAAGTCCAATGAGTTCTTTGTTTTTGAATTCTTCTTTTCTCCTCAGATATGGCAGTCTGCTTTAAGCACTCTGAATCCGAACCCCACCGACAGCTGTCCTCTCTACCTGAATTATGCCACTGTGGCCGCTTTGCCTTCCAGGGTCAGCCGACACAATAGTCCATCTGCAGCTCAGTTCATCACCCGCCTGGTTAGAAACTGTCTTCCAGGAGGTGTCAACAGATGTATTGTTGTAAGTAGCTGTTTGAAAATGCTTTTGGTGAAATGCCTAGTGAAGTATTTTCTTGACTTTTCAGGATTTTAGCTGTATCCAAGGAGACTGGAGGTGGGCAAGCTAAGCCAGTGTAGTTATATCAGTATTCGTAAGTGGTTTTGCACTGAAGCGTTAACAAAACCTAAGTATAACAGCTTACGCATGCTCAAGCAGTTGGAGGGAACTAAAGATGGATATCCGTGGAATGTTTTCATCCGGGAATGTCCATGCGAAGGAAACCAGTAGTGGCTTTTTTCAGACTAGGATTTATGATATTAGCACATGCTACATATCCTGCTTTAGATGATTAATATAGCACCCTGCATGCAGTCTGTGTTGCATAGCCTATTTAGGGTGCATTGAAGCAGCAGGCCTCATCTGTGTTAGTCAAAGGATTTTAGAAGTCTTAATGCAAACTAATGTTCCACCGTGAATCCTATACTGGGCAGGGTCTTGCACAGCTCTGGTCATGTGCTGCATGAGCATGATGAATTTGTGACTGAATGATGAAAATTCAATTTGATGATTAAATTTTTTTTCTGCGGCTCCTCCAGGTTAATTCAAATTTTCAGGTTATTAGAGAAAACTCATACAGTCTGTGTCAGTAACAAAACCTAGTTATAGTCTTCCCTTGGAAAAGTTATTTGCAAGAGTAATAACTCCACGTACCGTGTTTTTCCCTTTATAGTTAGCTTTGGAAATATTTAACTCAAACTGCTTTTCATTGGTAATTTCAACAATGAACGTCAGGAAAATAGTCAACATGTTAAAGACGGTTAATATTAACCACATTCTCATCTTTGCTCTCTTTGTGTCAGTTGTTTTGAACGCACATTGGTGG